TTGGATATTCCGTTCGTTCACTTGATCGATGTCGCTTCGATTGAATAATTCGAACCGGTAAAACTTCGCCAGCTCATCCTTGATTCCTCCCCACAGGAGAATTTGGTTGTTTCTTGCGAAAATATGCTTGAATATTTGTTTGATCTTCTGAAATTTCTCTTCGTGTTGTTGAGGTAGGAACAATGTTTCGACCAAAATCAAAATTGACGGCCGATCCTTGTAAACAAACTCAACCTGAATCAGAGCAGGTAGAGATGATTGGGAAGGTCGTGTTTGATCTTCTGTGTCGATCGTAAATACCGTTGTTTGCTGTGAACGTTCAATCAATTCGTGAAGAACTTCACACGATGTACATCTGTTCACGAAATAACATTGGTACTGCGAAAGTGGATCGAAGATGTGACATTTCCCTTCCTTGTGTAAGCGTTCGAGTCGATCATCCTCGGCTGCTCGCTTGGATTGCCACGATCGGGTTCTCCGATCTAATCTTTGTAATGGTGAGATGTATCGAGGCGAATGACTGGTTGACGATCCACACGAGTTCCTTGTTGTCATTGTATAATTGTTCGACCAGTTGACGATGATATTTGGTAATATCCAGCGAAGTCGATTGACGATGAGTTGACGATGATGTTCGATAATATCCAGCGAAATCGACGATGAGTTGACGATGATGTTCGATAATATCCAGCGAAATCGATTGATCAGTTGACGAACCAGATGATCTAGAATAGACAGATGTATACCTACGCAGGAATCTGTTAAGACTCCTCTCGAAACGTCGCGTATCGTACATGAACCCGATTGAGGTTCATTTTCCGTTGTTTATTTATGTTGATCTCCTTATTTTCCCAAAACTTGATCCAGTGAATGATTCATTGTAATCTGCTGACCAATCGTTCGCAGATTCTCACGTCAAGAGACCCTTGAGATGGTGTGTGACAGAACGAAAAAAATTATGTGTGATGAGAAGGATATTCTAAGAGAAGATATAGAGCAGAGCGGAACGATTCCCATTGGACGTTTATATTCTTATACTGATAGATCGTGATTACAAATAGTTTTAGAGAAAAAAACACGTATCGTATAACTGTAACCATATGTACGGAGAAAAGAAATAGAAATGACGATAAGGAAGGGAAAGTGAGTGTGTGCACCGACCGTGTCAGTGACCACTTAAAGAAAAAAGAGAAGGAGATAATGGAAAAAAAGAAATCATATTTTGACTAGAGATAGTTACATGTTCTTGCGTTCGCACAATGGTCGGAGAACGTCGGTTGTAACTTGTCGTGTCAACGTGTGTTTTTTCACGTGTTGGACTATAAATGTCTTTTCGTCAAGCTGTTGCACGACGCGAAAAGGTCCTTCGTACCGAATGTCGAATTTATTTCGGAAGTTGGACACTTTGACTAACACCAGATCGTTGATGGTGTACTTCGGATTCATGCGGTACTGGTCATACCGGTGTTTGTATTTCTGCTGTTGTTGTTGAATGTTGTCCCGGGCGTCGTTCGTTAATGATGCTAAGTATCGTTTGAGTTTGTTGCCGTGGTCGGGATCTTCGGCGATACTGACGATGGATTCATGTTGATCAAATGGTAACACAGGTGTTCGGCCATACATCAGCTCGAAGGGTATGTGTCCTGTTGTTGTATGGATGCTGGTATTGTAGTTGAACGTAACGAACGGCAATTGTTCATCCCAATTGGTCCTGTTGACGTTTGATAGTGCTGCTATCTTTGAATCCATGGTAGCGTTATATCGCTCAATTTGACCGTTTGTCATTGGGTGATATGGTGTGGAATATAGCTGTGTAACACCCATCTTTTTGAATAATTCCTTCATCATTGCCGATGTGAAGTGTGTTCCGTTGTCCGTCAAAACACATTTTGGAGTGCCATATTTGAGTATTGCTTCTTCGGTGATAAATCGTGCGGCCGTTGCTGCAGTGCAATCACGTACTGCTTTGGTGATGACGAACTTGGATAATACATCTGTCAATGCGATGATGTATTTGTTTCCTCGTTGTGTAGACGGTGTGATGGGCCCGTGAAAATCCATAGTCAGCAATTGCCATACTCCTTCAGGTGGTTTGATCGGCTTCAAAAACCCTGGAGGTTTTTGTCGATGATGGTTGTTCTGTAGGCAAGGTATGCAAGACTTAATGTGATTTCGTATGTCGAGATGCATGTTTGGCCAAAAATATCGCTGTTGGATCTTGTGAGTGGTTTTGTTTCGACCGAAGTGTGCTCCGTTCGCCGGTGTATCGTNTGAATTATTCCTTGTTGTAGTAGTTTATCAATTTCTTCTTTCTGAATTTGTTCATCCTTGTATGATACGCGATATGGCGGTGCATAGACAGGTGGATGTGAACCCGTTTCGATTGCATGTCTAGCCAATCTTTTGATAATCGAAGGTTGTCGGAGGTCGTATAATTTCCCGTACTTCCATAGAATACGTTGGAGCTTTTCTTGTTGACTTTGATTTTTAATGTGCATCGTTAATTTTTCGATCTTCTCGCGAATGTCTTGTGGATAGCATTGATCACGTAGATGTTGTTGTAGGCCGTTCCGTGATAGGAACTGTTGTTGACAGACATAACATTGATGTTGTTCATGCACGTTCGATTGTCTGTTTCGACAGGCAAAGTCCGTATTCGGGACCTTCCTCTTCTTGTTCGACAGTAGATAGCAGGACCGCTTCGATAATGGAGCATTCCTCTCATTTACATTCGAAAGTGTCGCCGCCTGTGCATGTTCCTGGTGACTTGCGGGTATAGTTAAGACGAGATGATTGATTGTGTCAGATTTGCTGGATGCGTATCCCAATTTGGTATTTCGTGATAAGGTCCGTCGCTAATCACTGGCATTAATTATCATTATCTTGCTTCGTTGATTTTCGACTGTGAGTAACGCGTTGATCGGGAATATCTGCTTTGAATAGAAGTGTGGATTGGGTTCGAAGATGATTTCATCTGCAACGTTCCTTGGTGACGGGATGTTTATATCGATGTAAACTTCCGAATACGGTGGAAGTGTGATATCTTCGGTGAGTAGTACTGGTGTTTGAAGATCGTGCGGTTTGAGAAAGAACGCGGTGGCTTTGATTCGACGATGGTGATCGGTTATGTGTATGCATCGTTGCGGTGAATCGATGATGACATTGTTATTTGTGATCCAGTCGTTCCCGAGCAGCAGGTCGGTTATTAAGTTCGTAGCGACGTCGGCAAAGATGGTGGTCTTGTGTCCTTGAATCCTAACTTCGAGCTTGATTTCACCAATGATGTTGATCGATGTACAGTTTGCGGACCGATGGGATTTTTTCGTGAGGATTAAGTTCTTGTGGTAAATTTTCTTCAATAACTGTTGGCTAATGATGGTAACGGCTGATCCCGTGTCGATGATAGCGTGTTGTTTTCTGTTGTTGACTTGGACATTGATAAAGATGGGAGTTGATGATTGTATTAGTGTTGAATTGATGGTTGATGGATTTTGTGTTACGTTACTGGAATCACCACCATCATGGGTTCCAGTTAGCAGAAAACCGCCGGGCAATCACGTAGTCGATGATCAGATTGCCCGCATTTGTAACATCCGGATGGTTTTTTATAATAGCAGTCGGCGTGTCGGTGATTACCCCGGCCGCATATGCGACATGTACTTCGTGTGTAACTACCATATGATGCTTGAGTCGTGAAATTATTCCGGGTTTGTGTGTCGGATGCCCCATGCTTCTTCCATGCTGATGAACGTTGTTGTGTTAATGTATCTTGTGTTCGAACGGAAGCATGTTGTCGTGCGCCTGTGTATCCGTATCGTCGTCGACCATCGGGCTCTTCTTGTGCTGCATTTGCTTCGGATGATGGAAGAGATTGTGTTGTGCTCGACGAAGCCAGTCCTGGTTTTGGTAATGTGGCTGACACTGTGTCAGTAAAATAAGGAGTGTATGTCGTTGTTTCGAATGTGGAGACACTTTCATGCTGTAATTCTTGTTCGGCTTTTGCAATCTTCAAGAATGTCTGTGCTGTGCGTGCCGTTTCCGCTAATGATTTCATCTGACGTTTGACTGGAATCTTCAAGGTTTCATATAATCCGTTTTCCAACCATGATATGATCATCCTTTGGGACAGCGTCGGGTCGTACTTGTGGCATAATTTGATGATGGTGTCATAGTATGAAGTGACCGTTTCTTCGGGTTTCTGTTTCCGTTCTTTGAGCTGTTCAAACACTTTGGATGATGAATCGGTAGTTGTGAATCGTTCGACTAACGCTGGTTTCANACACTTTTTCGATGATAATATTGAGAACAATACACGTGTATCAGCATTATTCTTGCTTTTTGTTATGAAAAAGTGTGCAAATGTTAAATATTTTATCACCAAAATGTTCACCTTAAAAAGTTCTACAAGATTCTTCAGATTTCTTTCGATGCCGTAAGTGAAACAGCAAACATTTTTTGAAAAAACGTGCGGAAAACCATGCAAAAGACGATTTTAGCATGTTCTTAGTGCTTTTCGTACTCTAAATCGAATGTGGCCAGGAAACAAAATAGCACATTTTGTAGAGCTCGTTTTTCTCTATCGAACTGCCTATTTGAAACCTTCCGTTCATTCCGGTTTTAGATAAGATTTTTCTCCACAAAGTTCGGGATTTGAGGGCTCGGAAGTCAATATTGCGGACGCGGTAGAAGATAAAAAGTCTACGAGAAAAATAAACATTTTCACGTATTCTGATGCAGTTTCTCTTGAGGATTCCGAATATGCCATTGGCTTTGAAATTCGAGGAAGCTATGATGAAATATCGCGAGTTTTTCGGTAAAACGTCAGCTTTTCATTTTTCAAGAAATTTCAAAAAATCAAAAATGGTGCTCTTAGTATTTGATCTATATCTCCTCGAAAGAAAGGTCAAATCGAAAAAAGTTTTATATCAAAATGCTCAGCTTGAAAAGCTCTGCAAATCCAGAAAGTTTCGTCGAAATCGGAGGTGGTCGCCGAATGGACCTGGTGCTTTCCCATGGAAACACCCAAAAATAAATCAAAGGGCATGGATGGATCTAGCCATTTTCTTTTAGGGGCAAGGAAGCAATTTTCTTCTCCTCACCCTTAGCTAGTCCACTTGTGCAAAGAAGCACTGCTCATTCTATGCACATAATTACCTAGTCATATTCACTTTTCGAGTTAGATATATCCGTTGAGAATATGACAAAACGACCAATACCGACCGGAAACTAATTCATGGAACTGAAACGAACTATTTGATAAGAGAACTATAAATTAGGACAACGGGCCAATTTCTCTTTTTATCATCCGCCCTCTATCCTACTCCTTATTGCTTAATAAACTTAGCCAAATTGATTCTAGTATGGTTTCGGTGATGGTCTTGATTATCTGCTTATGTTGTTGAGTGGATGTCTCGTGTTAGTACATGCCTCTTCTGTTATTGCCAGCCAAATTTTCTTTGGAAATCTAATGGCAGATTTTGCAGTCCGATCATTTGCTGTTAGTTGCCAGTCTCAAGAAGTAGGTTTTATGACTACTCTCGTCAAGCAGGGCGAATGCCCGTTGGGTGTTAACGTCAATCAAATGAATGGTCGTCAATTTCATAAGTGAGTTATGGTTCACAGCGGTGTTTATATTTAGCCTTCTATATGCATACTGTAGCTTATGCCGTCAAAATGGAACACTGTCAACAATAGCTCCTATAACTCCTGAATTTGAAGAACAAGTTAAACAGAATATTCGTCAACTATTAAGTATGTTTTCAAACTAGACCATTGAATCGAAACAATATGTACATGAAATCCTTCTATCTGCCCATTCATATAGTTGTTGGTCTTATCTCATGGGCATGCTGTTTGCTGGAAGTTCTGGCATGGTCACTGTCAGTAAGGAGACAAGTATCACGCATAAGTGTTTCACTATTTCGATCACTCATACAACGCGTAAGTCAAATAGATTTTTTTTCTAAATGAGTATTATGTGTTAATAAGAGTATACTATTGAAGGAACATTGATCTGTTAAAATCGTTCAACTGAAAATTCATCTGAATAAAGAGCAGTGTTGGTCAATACATACTTAAAACATGTGAAAAGAAGCGACATTAGCTCGATAAGATCTGTTTTCCTCCCACGAACCACTGTTACAAGAATTCTCATGCGTATTTTCTGAAAAACTTATAATAATAATAAGACAAAGAGTTGCGGTTTTCATTATTGAGAACAAGAAATAAAGATGACTTAAACCATGTGTTAGAAATTGCCACAATGTTGCTTTTCGAGGTGTTTACATTCGATTTTTTTACTGCTGAGAAAATATTGTCTATCAGAAGACCGAAAACAGCACAGAAAAGAGCATTTCTTAAAAAAATTCTTAAAAACACTTATTCAAGTTTCCTCTAGAATACGTATTGCTCACCTCACCTTTTACAGTTTGCATCACTTCGATGAGTGGTTTGCACGTACACTTGACTATCGAAACTGCACTACTGTCATCTTGCGAGAGAGGGTTTTTCTTAGAAAAATGAATGGGAAAGCTTATAGTAATCAAATGGCAAACTTTTTTAAAACGCAAATTGACGCACTTTCATATTTCTTTTTCAATGAGGAAAGTCACAGCTCTCCATCTTATTATTATTAAAGGTTATCCTTAAAAATATTTACTGACATTTTCCCAAACAAACCTCTATGCAGCCATTAGATACGCGATAGAAACGGATCTTATCGGTGTTTTGCCAGTATAGCTTTAGCAGAAGTATAATCAGATATTATAGAAAACAGAGCGTTGTTTCTCTATCAGAATATGGAGAACGGAGATTTTTCAAGATTTTTTTATGAGAACTTATGGAGCTGCTCTCGCTACTTTTAGTACGTCCTAAGTATAATATTTCATTTTAGTTTAAACCAGTATCTCTTTTTACGCATAATCTAAACAGATTTATTTCAAATGTTATTTGAAAGATTTTGCATCACAGATGCTTTATATTTATAGAATAGAAATTACTAATTCATTCTATTACATTCGACTGTTCTAACTAATTGAATTATACGGATCGAGATAGTATAAGGGCAACCATATACTGTACAATATCTGAGTCGTACTCATCATACATAAATAAGAGATCCTGTTAAACTAAAGACGAAAGAGAAATGAGAAATAAAAAAGACACGTACAATCTAGCTCATATTGCTAGATTAAATTGCGAACAATGTGTTGTTTCGTATAGAACTTAAAGGATGCCATTTATTTCTTCTTCTCAGAAACGTACTCATGACTGCAAAGATGTGCTTTAAATATCTCTCACATGTTGCTACTTGAATGGTAATACAGTACATCCCATTTCCTCATGCCATGATGAACAATTATTTTTTANGATGAAAAAGTCGACACACTATTGTGCTATCCGATTTCATTATGAATCTCAAACGTCGTGCTATCAGAGAAGATGGTCTTATATTTATAATCATAATTTCGAGTACGCATTCCAATATACCAAATACTTCATTGAATGAACATGAAATATTGTCCTATTAGGATTTCAGAAGATAATTTACTTGTTAACTGTATATTGCGATCTAGTATGTGTGTATACAATACAGAGTGATGATACTATTCCGTAATAACATGCGCTTGATTATATATAGCAATTGCGTCATCGCTATGGGAGTATATATCTGCTAAAAAATTCGGCATTGATCACGTTTTAGTAAAAAAACACCGCGAGAATATAACACCTAGAAAATTACAAAAAATATAAAAGCCCTGAGAGAGTACAGATATTTCTTGAAAAACATTTGTCGTATTAACTATAAAATATCAATATACTTCGATGGTGTCGTTTAGAGTATGACATACTTGGATGCCAATTCAGCTGATGAGCTCACTGCTAAATTATTCGAGTAAGTGAAAATTATTTTTCTTGATAACAGAAATAGTTTCCTATTAAATTGTTTGGTAGTAATATACCAAAGATTGAACTGGGTATCGGTATCGAGCTCTTATTATGTGTTGATGTCATATTATCCGCGATTGGCAGTGTGGTAATCTCTTTCATCATCAACTGGCAGCTCTCATTAATTCTTTTGTGCATTTCACCTGTTATTATTGGTGCTTCGATGTTTTTTTCACAAGTAAGAGCATTTTCATTTGAATGAGCGAACTGGCAAAGACAACCATTATAGCTCACAGCAAAAGAGACAGACAATGAATTAACAACATATGCCAAAGCTGGACACATAGTTCAGGAAGTATTTAGCTCAGTGCGAACCGTTCATTCACTCAATGGTAGTCGCTTTGAACAAAAAAGGTAATTACATGTATATGTGAATATGTCTTGATCCGTTTCCTAATCAATTTTGATGATATGTACATGTGACATATCTTACCGTCTAAAATCAGCGGTGAACATTGTTTCTACAAGAAATAAAAACAATATTTATCTTTTGTTTACTGTAGATAATAGCCCATATTTGAGAACAATTGTGATCACGACTTTTTGCGACAACTATAACACAAAGGGCAGTTTGTCGTTGACGTATGCTCCTGTGAATTCACATTTATAGCCAGTGTGAAATATAACTGTCATATCCACCAAAAGCAGAATTTATTCTAATCAAGATCGATACACATGGATTTATATGAGAAACTCTTGGATACTGCATTTTGTAGAAAAAGACAGACGTCATTCAGCAGAGCGAAGTTAAAAATTTAGTGCCTTTTGAGAATCACAAATAGCTTCGAGATATTGCAACATGTTGAAAAAAATGGCTTTCAGAATCTACTTCCTCATCTTAATAAAAAAAAAAGTTTGGTTAAAGTATAGGGAGCCTCAGGATTCTTTGCTATAGTTTAACGCGACAGCAATAAGATTTCGTTTCTTTAACGAAACCTTTTTGCTGTAGAAAACTTTAAAAAGTTTTGCAGACGATGGTTTGGAGCATGTGTTCGCATTAGGTATGCATCCAAACCAAAACTAATGGCACTTAATGATACACGACACTATCAATATCATGCGCAACCTTTTACGAAAATTCTCGTCCACTATCATTATTTCTTTATAGTATTACGACTCTTAAACTGAGCCCGAAATCAATACACTGTTTTATTACTTTTGGTCTTTGATCCCGATTAAAAATTAGCTAATCATTGATCAGGACGATTTTTTTCACAAAAAACGACGACTTTCAGAAGTCAGCTGCAATAATGCTTTTCAGGGAGCTTTAATAGTGCTTAATGGTCCAGTTTTTACAGAAACCTTCGCGCCCTAATCGTATGGAAATAGAACTATCGATGTTGTTAGTTTTGGTGAAGATGAAAACAAAAGATCAGCCAAAACCGCCAAAGCTCCGAATTTTGGCGCATGTCTAGTTCGCGTATATATTTTTTCAGATGTTGTAGATTTCGAAAAGCATTTTCTTGAATATGCCGGCGCACTTCAAAGCCATTTGGACGGACAAAATCTTTTCGATGAGCTTGACAATGTGTCTTTCTCATTTACACAGTGTCTCTTATGAACTTGAAGGCGAAAATTAGCGTAGCGCTCTATAACACTGCAGAGACAAAAAGAGCTATTTTGGCTTTATTCTAGCAGATAATACATTCTGGAATCCTATCTGACAAATGATTTTATGCAATATCGTTTATTAATAGAGTATACTAAATAGTGTCACCTAGTTTATATTTGTGCACGCGTATTTTCTTTGAGATATTCGAAGATATCACCTTTGACTACGACACATCGGAGCTCGACTTTTCCTGATTACCGCAATTAACGATCAAATAGTACCAATGTTTTCTTAATGGCTTTGGTTTTCTGTTCTGCTGAAATGTTTAGGTTGAGAAAAATGAAATCTAGAGATCTTCTGTATCTATATATATATATAAAGAAGAAAGTTTGTCTGTCTTTTTATTTGTTTGTTCGCTATACATTCAGTCTCTGTATAGCTATCGGCGCGAAAATTTCCACGACACTTCCATGAGTCTGGGGGAAGACTGACAGCTACTTTTTTCCGAAACAAAATGAACCAGGCATTTGCTACAGGCAATCTATGAAACTGACCAATAGGATTGCAGGATTTCAAAAATTGCAGCGGGTTAGTAGCGAAAGCAACCGAAGGCCCCCTGAGCGCTCATAGGCAATAGTTCACATGTTCTCTACGTTTCTGATAGCTCTGTGCATGCTACAAGCAACCTATGAAACTCACCAATAGCATTACAGAGTTACAAAAGATTAAGATAAATCTTGAGGATGAATGCGAAGGGTGTATGGTATGAGATGGCGGGAAAAATATGGACTGCAAGCGTAGAAATTTGGATCATATTGATTTTCTATCTGTTGCAGCTTTTCAACACGTGAGATGTTCGACATCGACATTTCTTATTTGCCAGCGGGTATCCTCGATAGTATTCATATAGTATCAATGATAACGCACGAAGTGGAAAATCCAGCAGTCACATCAATGTAGAAAACGGAAGTTATAGAGACGGAGGTACCGTAGGAGAACTTTTTTAAGCATTCATAAAAGCTGAACTTTTGTCCAGGTTTGAACGCTATTTGTTAATAAAAATATATCATAAATTTAGTAAAACAGCTATTCTAAGGACATAGCAAACGATTTACTCACAAGAATTTTAGTTAAACGACAGATTAATCAGTCATCACTTTAACCATAAAAGCTGTTAGATATGTAGTTTGTTCTCTTTGTTCACATAGGTAACGATTGTTGTCAGATGAATGAAGCTGTAGTTATCTAATAATTACGTCAGAATGATTGGAGTCGTTAAATTTTTTTTGCCAAGATTATAAATTTAGAGTCGAAGGTTAAATAAAACATATATAATTGGAAAATTATCTGTATGTAATACTGAATTTATATGTGTAAAAAGGTTGGATTGCTATCAACCTTATTAATGTACACGCGCGAAGTTTTAACATGCATACTGTATACGAGATAGTGTCCAATGATTACATAGTATGCAACTGCAAGCATACCTTCAAAAAAATATGTCCGATGTCTATAATTACCAGAGACTGTAGATTGTTAGGTGGCCTGCAACGAGCTAGGCATATGCATTTTTAACAGACATATGATTGCTATTTTAAAAACGAACAACAAATCGTTTTCACCTAATTCAATGTTGCTAAATATGGTGCCACGCAGTAAAACACTCCTTTTTGAGCAACTAAAATAACAGTTCTGCATTATACTGCTATCAGAATTTATGCACAATCGTGAACTGATTCGTTATCTTCAAACAAGGCTGGCGCTTTAACTTTATTTTAAAAGTATTTCGCTTTCATTTTAAACTAAACATAGAACATATTTTAAATACTTAAAATTGTTTTTTAAGTCGAAGTCTAAGATGATTTTACTTTTCTTCAAATCTTTAAGTTAAAGTAATGCTTTAAGTTTTAACCACTTTTTAAAGTGAAGCTAAAGTTAAAATGCCATCCATATCATCAAAGTACTCAATTTTTATGCGAGTACATCTAGAAATGTTCAATAAAGCTGGACGTGCTGAGTGTTCTTTATATCCAAGTGTTCCTAGTAAATCAGATGAAAATGGTTTTCTAACAGTCACACCAGTCCTTTATCAGTAAAGATCTGTCATAATGGCAGATGCACAACATGTTCTAAATAAAAAATAATCAAGTATATGTAGCATATATATGCGTTAGTGTTAATAGGTTAGCTGAAGACCATTGATTATCGTTGCTTCAAATATTTTACAGATACCTCATTGTGATAGATCGTAAATACTGTATAAGTACTATGTCTAATCGAAAAGCTATCGTCATCTGATATGCTACTAAAGCACTTTGAGGAGGAAAATTCAGGCTTTCAGTCAGATCAAGGATTTTTATATGCGGATGAAAAGATTTTCAATTTGACTGAACTATCGTTCCGATTGTTTCTTAGGTACGATAAGGAACTTGATTCAACACAGCGAAGTGCAATTCGAAAAGGCGCTGTGTTCGGTGCGTTCATGGGTTGGATCTCTTTTATAAACTACTTGGTTTATGCTGTCGGTTTCGTTTTTGGCTCAGTTCTTATGTCATTTGATAGCCTTCATGCCACTAGTATCAATCATATTCTTATTGTAAGTCACTGTATATACGAATCCAGGGACAGACGTTCGCTACTAAAAGTTTTATTTGTCTGTAGATTGTTACATTATTTTCTCAAAGCATTCAGTTTATGGGATCCATTGCCCCTTTACTTCAATCATTTTCAGAAGGTCGAGGCGCAGCAGCGACTGTATTCCAACTGATTGAAGAGGTAACGTCGCTGCAACAAAGGCCTCATAAACACAATAGTATTAATATCGTCTCATTACATTAGGAGCAAGATCCCGATGTCAATGAAAATGATTTGTTGAGGGTGGAAAATGTAAATAATGAATCAATTACGATTCGTACCGGCGACATACAGTTTGATCATGTTAGTTTGGTTTATCCTTCTCGGAAAGATGCACCAGTTTTGAAAGAGGTTGATGTGACCTTTCGTGCTAATCAAACAACTGCTCTCGTTGGTTCAAGTGGTAGCGGTAAGTCTCTCTGTGTGTAAATAAATTTGTTTTTGCAAATATGAGATCTTTATAGGGAAAAGTACATGTATATCCCTTCTTCTTCGTTTTTATGAACCTTCATCGGGTAACATAACTATTGCCGGCAGACCTATTACAGATTACAGTATAAACCAGCTTCGACAAAGTATTAGCGTTGTTAGCCAAGAACCTGTATGATTTTTTTTCTTTTTCTTTGATTTGACCTCCAATTTCGTATTCTGCTTGCGCAGGTTTTATTCAATATGAGTATTTATGAAAATATTCGTTTGGGTAAACTGAATGCAACACATCAAGAGATTGAAGCAGCTGCCAGAGAAGCTAACGCACACGATTTTATCATGAAACTACCTGATGTTTGTATTTAAGAAAACTGATATTGAGATGACGCATACATATGTCATACTATTTGTCTATAATCTAGAAATATGATACATTCGTTGGCGAGCGCGGTACTCGTCTTAGCGGAGGTGAAAAGCAACGTATCGCCTTAGCTCGTGCACTTGTGAAGCAGCCTAGAATCCTGTTATTAGATGAGGCAACAAGCGCTTTAGACAATGCCAATGAAAAAACTATTCAAGTAGCACTGGATCGCGCATCAAAAAGTAATCCTGGTTTCTTCTTTCATTGTCTTTCGAACTAGGTCACTGCATCATCCGTTTATAGATCGTACCACTATTGCTATTGCTCATCGTTTGAGAACCATTCAAAACGTAGACCATATTTATGTGTTAGACAACGGAACAGTCATTGAAGATGGCACACATCATACTTTGATGGCAAAAGAAGATGGAAAATACCAAAGAATGTTTAAAATACAAGAGCAAACACGAATGGACGCCGAAGACGAAAACGATTTCATAACCAATGCAAATATCACATCTGAATATGAAAGACAAACATGTACGTGAGAATTTAGCAAATGATGAAGCTTCTCCACATATTACAACACTTTTCATTGAAATTTTTCTATTCCCATAATTTTGAGTTCTGAAAGGATAGGGATAAGAAAAGGAAGGTGGTATATTTGTCCGTAGCTCAGTTGCTAACTTTTTCGTCCGATATGATTCCAGAAAACGACAAATTAAAGAAGTGAGTCAGATCTCTGTATTGCCCTTACAAACAGATAAGATAGACTTGAGGGTGGTAAAATAGGGTAAGGACCGGTAACAACGGGTATTGAAAACTGCAAAAAGGGTGTCATATTACACCATAAAAATTCTCGATTTCGATACCACTTTCAGCACATTTTAAGTTTCAGTCATCGCCTAGTTTTATTCTGAACTTTAACTTAATTTTTCTATGAGTAGCTGTAGTCTTTTATAGAACAGCTCATTCCAAATGTTTATCTAGTAGCGGCGTAGTTCGGATCTCTCGGTAGGTTGTACTCAGCTCTGCTATTTTTTATCAACATAAAACAGGATAGTGTGCGATTTCTTCAACAGTTAGCAAGATTTTTTAGAATATCTATAAAATTGTAATGAAGAGAAAGAGTCTAGTAAATCATATGCTATCATACGAAGAGAACTTGCCCTGTACATCACTCATTCTAGATTTTGAATTTGATGATAATCGAATGTGAATGTATATTGGACTTCAGTTTATTTATAAAAACACGTGCTATATATACAGTAATAGATCAGATATCACGAGGAAATGTCTACCGGTGGATACCAATAGAGTCCATTAGATATGATACATATGACAGGATGGCAGATATAAAAAAGAAAATATAAAACCTGTACGAACAACATGAATGGAAAAATCCAAGTAAATGTGATATATACAGTATAACCTTTCTAGTGTGGGCACTAATTGGATTCATCAAAAGTACCCAATTAACCATTTAGGTCCCAAACTATTTTTCGCTAAGATGAATCGAAGTAATTCATCAAACTAGCTTATTCTAAGTATACAGTGTAAGATATGAACAATTCTTATGCATATGCTCATAGATCATCATGATTAACTTTATTGGAATTGTTGTGGGTGAGAAGCTATTTCGTTATTTTTTTAATTTCCTATAGTACTTAATATAATGATATTTATACCCACGCACAGCTCGAGTATGTTCTAGAACATTCTTGACAAATCTTTTCAGAGGAATTACGTATACGTTCTTGGAAAGCATAGAATAGTATTCAGTTATACAACATGTATAACAAAAAAGCTACTGTGAAACTCAAATGGTTAAGCTCCGACTCCGGTGATACACCAACCGTACTCTAATGATACTCCACTTAAACTTTACTTTTCGACAGGGTATTGGCAGAGTTTTGTGGAAGTGTGTCGGGGTACGAGCGGAGTACCGAAGCATCGGAATATCACTGTTTCCTCCGTTGAGGTTCACCATAATAATTGTATATACATACAACGCTTTTGAATCGGCGGCAAGTATTTAGAAAGAAGCAAGATGCAGTGCAAATCTTATTTGCGCCATTTGAACCTCTTCAATTTAACCGTGGATCCCATAGATAAGATGTTTTAGCGTAAAGTTCTTTTCAACTGTCTAGAACCTTTTGATGATTTATTAGTCAGCGAATGAAGCCTTAAAAGACCTTAATCTGTGCAAAAATCTTAAATAGTTTCCCATGACACCGTGGTGTACAGAGTAAGAGTGAATGAGAGCAGAAGTATCTATATCGGATGACAAGGCGTGGATTAGTAGCTAAATTTCGATATATATCAGAATCTTGTCATAGAACTGTATGGATTATGGTTAACAGAATACTGCCGTTCAATTGATGAATGCTCATGTTGTTCATAGTTTCCAATTAAATGTTTTTAAATAATTGTTCGGTTTATATGTTACATGTGACGCAGAATGTACGTATTTCCATATTTACTACGATATATGCACTACTGATTTGTCTTATTTGTGCTGTCATCATCCAAGCAAAAAGCATTGTCTCATCATGGTTTTTAGGAACCATGACAATTTGAAGAATCTGTTCGAAATACTTTTTATGAGAAACTAAATGTCTCGAACTTAAGACTAATTAATTTTCGTGTCAGTCTCGACGAAATTTCTTTCTAAATATAAGCATTTTCCCCTTTTACAGGACAAGAGAATTGAGTACTTTCTACTCCAACGAATAATGAGAACATCCATAGATTGCCATGATATGATTAATGAGTAGGTCTTTAATACCTAGCAGTAAAAATCACAACGAAAACGCAAATTGATATTATATTAGATTGTTGAATAAATAACGACGATTTTCTGTCAGTTTAGGCGCCAGTTTAAACGATCGTTGATTCTGCATCAATTCAATGCCTCCAGAAAATTTGTTTTCTTAGACTGCTATCTTTTCAGCATCATGAAATTTTCGAATTTTAACATGAAATTCAGCCTATATCAAGATGTAAATCAGACTGACTTTCAATTACACTTGTAAGGCTTCTCTTCCGAGTTTTTAGTGGTCAGAAACCAAACTCGCAAGACATTTTTCGTATATACCGTTTGTCGAAAAGCGCTTAGAGCTCTGACGAGGGAACTTCTCCAGGTGTTCAAACCCTTTAAGTCCCGTCTTTTGGCGTTTAGTAGACCTGTATGAAGCATGAAAAACCCAAAGAGAATTCGTGCGCTCGTGCCTTCTTTCCCAAGATATCGAATTCTCAAGATCTATACGAAAAGGGATCGAAATGAAAATCTTGAGTTTTTGAAAAACAGTAGAGCATTCAGGTGAATTTTTTAAAAGCTTTGCGCACTACTCGTGCGACTTGTCCTGGCTTCAGAGTTAGATCAAATATTATCGGTAGCACTTCTATTAACTGTTCATCTGATTATAAAACACTCAGAACTCTTCATTTCATACCTGGTATCATGATATATCAGCGAAAAAGCTTGAAGAACGCAAATGACACACTATCGATTATCCTTTCGTTCTGCTCACTAATGTGCGAACATGGTTGACTGATAAACATACCATGCTCGCATTCTTTGTGTTCGTTTCTCTGTTTACTTTCTCCTCTTGTTCTCGCTTTCACGTAGAATTCTTGCCACGCGGTCGTTTTACTCTGCATTCGATATTAGTGATTCTCACGGCTCTTTCAAAAGGATCAGCCCAGCAAATGTCGTGAAGATTTTCGCTGATCGAGTATCAAATTTATTGACTTCTATAGTGTTGAATAATACGACCGTCCCCATTACTATCAGAAATCGCGAATATGAAGTAGCTAATCTACTGTGTGGTGTACTAGAATCGATTGCTAGTAGTCACTCCCACACCTTCGAAGTCGAAACAACTCTCGATCATGAGTTAGACGATGACGAATTGATCAATGACGTCGATTACAAAGATGAAGATGATGAGAAAGTATTGTGCAAACAATTTTCGTTTGATTACATGACCCGGGCAGTCAATTTCTACGACGAAATCAATCCACAAACTGGAAAACAAAAGAGACGGTGGGAGACAGTGAAAAATCACTTCCGACGTATTCCCTACCAAAACTATCTCGCTCGCTTTCGCCATTATCTTGAGAAACATGCAACGAAGAAACAAAAGCTCTAGAAAATTGATGATCATGTATTCGATATGTTCGAACAAGCTCGAGAGAAAGCTCTACTAGTGCACGATATTGATATCCGTCGGTGGGGTCTTAAAAAGGTTATGGATGAATCTTTACACAATTTTGTCGCATCAAATCATTGGCTATACACTTTTAAACACAAACACAACACTATCTCGCGCAAAATAACAAAGGTGAGAGATGTACGATAATTTTTTATGAATTTGTGGTAGGAAGCTTTCTCTTCTAAAACCAGACGAACATGAAAAAACAGACTTCTACAAGCTTCAGACTTGTCAGTCTTTGAGAACCATTAGTTTCTACACAATTTTTTGAAATCAAATTTACTGAAGTTATTTGTTCCCTGTAGATTATGACGAAGCGCCACACAAAAGATAAAGAGATGATTAGAACTTCGGCCAATCAGTTCGTAGCTGATGTTCGCAAACTTTTGCCCCAATATGAAACCAGCGAAATTATTAACATAAATCAAAGTGGAATCCAGCTCGAATTACACTCTAGTCGAATATTAAGCCACGAAGGAGAGAAAGTTACAGTCGGATCTGTACGCTCTATAAATGCCACCACTCGTAGTTATACTGTAAAGCTAACAATCACACTCGACGGTCATCTTCTTTCGCCGCTTTACCTCTCCTTGAAAGAGCCCAAAGGACACACGAGCGAGAATATCCGCTTGCATCTTTTCAATGCGTCGAATGTGGTGATCACCTGCAGTAGTTCTGGAAAGCTCACAACATCTATGGTTGAGTACTGGCGCGATCATGTGCTCCTGTCATCACTGGAAAACATCAGAAGCTTCCACTCATCTCGGACTGTTGGGGTGAACAGACTGATGGAAAGGGATTATACGATCATATCCCCGGGTGCACAAGGCTTTAAATACCAAAGAAAACGACGGATTCCTCGTCGATTATACGATCGCGTGCTGGTCGATGAGCTTGACGTCAACATGAGTGAACAAAATAACATCATACGTCTCATATCTCTGACGCATAACCAACTCTCGTCCGAAGTTTTTCGTCCAATGACTCGATACGCTTGGTACGCCAGTGGCTACACAGACAATCATCATGGGTCCTTCGAAACTGTGGCTGGAGTGTGTTTTTTCTTTGACGCGACGATATGTGCCACGTTTTCATGCGATGTAGCCCCTTTCATCTGCTGTAGCTGGTGTGATAAGCCACTATGTTTCAATCACTTTTTTCTGAACTATCATTTTCATTGGTTCCCTTTTGTG